GGACATTTTGATCTTTCAAATATTATTATTTTTTATTCACAAATTCTTTGTAATCTAATAATATATATTAATAAAAATTGAGTCTTACCCTCTTTCTATATCTCTCATCACTTCTTTTCTTTTTCTTTCTCTCATCTTATTGTCTAACAGCAAATGGTATACTCAAGGATGACATGTCCATATGTCTATATGGAAACAGAAGAAATTTTTTTTACTTTCGAAGACAATTTTGTGAGGACGAATGACATCCATGTAGGCAGTAAAGAAAATTTTTTGAGTCTGAGGGGTATTTTAAAAATTTTTGTTTGTTTTGAGGGCAATCTTTGTAAGAAGTTCTGAAAAAGATTATTTTTGCTATATTTCTATTATTTTGTAATATTAATGTATTTTCAATTTTAAAATTTACTTAGTATATTAATCAAAATGGAATGCCTATTGAAGCAAAATTAAACAAACAAGTAAATAGAATTCTTATTTATCTAATTTTAATAATTTTTTTGATTACTCTATATATTTTCATATTTTTATATTTTTTTTCTGTTAACATAAATGATTTCAATTCACTTCTCATCATTAGAAAGCTCTAATCTTTATTATTCCTTATTTTCTTTTCTTTTTTCTTTATTGGCATTTTTTTTCTTTTATATTTAGAGAAGTAATTGCCTTCAATTAGGCGTAGTTATATATATTATTCTTGAAATTAAATTTTGTATAGTTAATTAGTTTTAGCATTCTTAAAATGCTATCAATTGTCACTTGATTATTAAAAAATATATCTTTAACAATAGGATTTAGAATTTTATATGACTTCCTTTTGAGGTATGCAAGTTTTCAAGTTTTCTTTTTATTTTTTGATTTTTTATTTTGTTTTAACCTTAAAGAAAATTAATAATTTATATAGAGATTAGAAAGGTAATTGACAAATTACTTGATAATACTATTATTATTTAATATAACTTATCAAGAGTAAAACGTTAGTTTAATATTTTATTATTTACTTCTATTAATAAGCTTTTAATTATAAATATTTTTAAAACTTGAATACATTCCAACAATCCATAAAGTGGGTTGAAAAATGTTAGTTTTTAAAAATTTTCAAAACCAACAAAATATAAAGGTAATTTATTCATTTAGTCCCATCCAATTTTTTTAATTAATTAACCCCTAAAATTTCTTCTAGTTTCGTCTCCTATTGCAAGTTGTTTTGCAGCCCAAAACATTCCAATACCAGGTGTATATAAGGTACACTGGGCGTCCCTTTTTATATCTTTGCTCTAATTTTCTAGCCTGGAAAAGCGAAGCTGCGAAGGTGCATGCTTCTTTGCCCTTTTTTTTTTTTGTGTTTTTTGTTTCTATATTTTTTGTGTTTTCAGATCTGTATCCCGAGGCAGCAGTTGGGGGTAATTAACATGTGCATTCGGCACGTGCCATTTAGATAGTCGAGCAACGAGGTCGTTGCTTATTCTTTCTGTTCGTGTGTCGCGAACGAAAATGAACTGCCTCTTCCACCTCGCCACTTTGTTCCTCACATTCTTGAAAAACTGGCTCTTCTCCCTCCCATAGAGGTAGTACCACTTTGCACCTCTGGAGTTAGGACACAGCCGGCATTGAAACAGCGATCTGAATACTATCGCCTTGGTCGGTATCTCCAACCTCGCACACAACAGCATAAAACCTATGATGAATCTTATGCTGTTGGGCGTCAGCTGCGTCAGACCTAGCTCGTAATGTGCCAGACGATCGAATATCAGCCCGGGTAGGGGAAATCGCAGGCCGGCCTCAAAGTGATCCACGTACACTAGTATCCAGCCCGTCTGTGACACCGTGCAAGCCCTCTCATTCTGTGCGCCAGCTCAGAGCAATATCGTCCTGGGGATCTGGTACGACCTCACCATCTCCTCCAGTTTCTTATACCCACTTATTGAGGACGCGTTATCTACCACTTCATGGTGAAGCGCCGCCTTGAACCTAAAACCAGAAGGCAGTTCTTTGGGCGCCTTGCGTAGGTTGCTCAATCTACCCGTGATTAGCCTATTTTCCCATTCTTCAACCACGGGCAGATCTGGTTCATTGCCAACCACATTCCCCGTCTCTTCCTCGCGGCTGGGTGTCTCTTCAGAGGACGAACTGCTGGACGATGAAATGTGGTGGTCGCCACTGTCGTCTCCGGCGCTTGAACTGGCGCTGCTCTCAAGCGTTATAGTTTCCGGCAAGTCCTGCAGTGTCGGCGGCACTATCATCGCGATAGGCTCTACAGAAATAACCCCCTCCTCTTCTTCTTTTCTACCCTGGTTACCTCGTAGCTCTCTAAGCTCTCTAAAGAAGTCCATTTTTTACCTTAGATTGGTGTGTACGTTGCTGAGTTGACGGTCTGGCGTTACGTTCTTCAGGCTACAAGCACTTTGCTACAGAGAATATTAGAAGTTCAAAAACGAGTGAAATGGAAAATGGCATAACCGTTCCCCTTTTCCATTTTCTGAAACAGCAGTTCTAGTGTTAATTGCCGTACGCGTGTCCCTGACGCGCCAGTTAGCATCCCACACATGACAAGCGCTTAACCCCCTTTCCTATAGCGTGCGCCGGCTTTAATTGTCACGTCTCTTCAAATGCTGAGTCAACATTTATTGCGGGGAGACAAAAGTATATCTGCTATTGGCAGAATAATACCAAACGCCCTGAGCAAATCTCCTCAGAGATTCGCCACAATTTAAGATTTGAAAAATCTCAAGGATCAGCTCGTAACAAATCTCAAGGATCAGCTCTCCTCAGAGATTCGCCACAATTTAAGATTTGACAAATCTCAAGGATCAGCTCATGACAAATCCGAGATCTTTTTAGAGATTTCAACTTTGAAGTCTTTAGAGATCAGGTCGTATCAAATTAGAGATTTACCTCAGTTTTGAACGACAAACACTAGATCGTCACCAAATCCCTCAGATTTACTCTGTATCCTGGAGATCTACATTATAGTGACGATTGAGGTCACTCATTTCAACCCGTCTGGGTTGATTGGTTCCGCGCGTTCACTATCTGCTCGCCTTCGCTCTGCTACAGAAAATCCCTTATGCGAGATCGCCCTTGTGCGCCTGTTCAACTCGCTGATTAGCATCGAGCTCGCTTGGTTTTAACACCAGCTCCCCCACGCCTGCTCGGTAGGAAGTTGGCATACACATGCACATCCGACCAGGCACGATTGCTTCAGGCCGCCCAAGTCGGTCATGTGTGAGGTTGGTCATGAACCATAAACGTCACTCCTCGTTCCAAGGGTCAAACACCGTGCTAATGAGACTCTCAACCCTGTTCATCAACCAAACACCGAGGGGGGAGTAATGTTGGGATTAGGCCCAACACCCACTTCGGGCCACATGCAGCAGGCCGAATTACACACCCACAGACCCAAGATGAGGAGACATGCCCACGTGGACCAATCGGATGAGTACATGTCTGAACTCTTGTCAGCATTTGGGGCTATAAATACCCCCCAACTATCTCCATGCAAGGTATTAACTCCACTACGCTTCTCTCTTTGCAATTACTCTTCAAGAGCTTCTCTCTCTAGAACATCGAGTATTGTTGACTTGAGCGTCGGAGTGTTTTCCTCGAGGAAACATCCTTGGGAATTTTAGGTGTGGAAGCAACTGAAGACCTCAATAGTGTTGGATCGTGAAGCTGCCCAAACATTTGTGTATGTCTTGAAATTAATATTTTTAATTTAGTCAAAGTAAATTATTTATATT